AACAACTAAATGTGTTGTTATTTCCTGTACTGGATTCTAGAACAGCTAATGGACATTAATGAAACAGTCCAGGCTTTACCTGGATTTTAGCCAATAATGATTATGTTAATTTTCTATTACTTCATAATCAAGTACCAAAAATATATTCTCTCACAGCTCTGTGGATCAGAAGTCCTGGCACAATGGGACTAAATCCTAACCCCAGTGACTTGCAAAGCTGAAATCAGAGTATCAGCCCGGCTGTGCTCCTTTCTAGAAGGTCTGAGGAAGAATACGCTTCACCTGGGTCATTGGCCAAATTTATCTGTTGCGCTTATAGGACTGAGTTTCCCACTTAGTTGCCAGCTGTGAGTTAGGAGTCCCTGTAAGCACCGAAAGGCTCTCAGGGTCTTGCCACACGCCACCTTCCATGTTCAAAGTTAGCAAGAGAATTTTGCTCCTGTCAAATCCCTCAGGCTTTGCCTCTGACATCCTGGTCTCTGAGCTCCAGACCAGGTTCACGTGATTAGACCAGGCCCACCCTGGTAATTTCCCTTCCCTAAAGTCAACTGATTTGGATTCTTAGTCGCTTCTGCAAAATCCCTTCACACCAACACCTACATTAATATTCAATTGACTAACTAGGACACCAGGTGGAATCTTACTTAGAATGCTGCCTGCCACAGGGACTGATGCACCAACATTGATTTCTTAGATTTGACAAACAAGCCATAGTCATGTGAGATGATAGACCAGGGAGAAGAGTATATGGAAACTCACTGTACCATCTTTGCAACTTTTTAAATCTAAAATTATTACAAATAAAAAGTTTATGTAGAAAACAGTATCTTCCAAAGCCCTAATTAAATGGAATAGGTCATCTTGTGCCTCCTGGGACACAAACTGGTAGAATCGCAACATTCAGTTACCATAAACAATAACAATGTAGACGATTGAGGAGCAATGAGGAACAATAACAAGGCAACAAGAGAAACAGAAGGAGGAAGAAGCAGCAGCTTACATTTATTGACCATTTAAGTGCCAGGCATTTGCTTAAGTACTTTGTATAAGCAATCTTAGTTAATCTCTGCAACAACCAGATAGGGCATTATTTTAATGAGTCAACTCCCCATGTTACAGATGAGGAAGTTGCAATAGAAAAGGTTACATGGCTTCCTGGAAGTCGTACAGGTAGTAAGTGGTCGAGCTGGGAATCAAATTCGGGTCATTGGACTCCTGAGTCTTCATTCAGCAGCATTTGATTTCCCATAGTCCACGCATCCACAACATCGACCCACTCCTTCAGCCATTCTGCTCTTCCCTCAAAAGCAGGTAGCTTCCAAAGAATGTAACATAGGCAGTAGTTTACATTTCACCCGAATACTTCCGTGAATGTGATCCACCACTGTGGATGCCCAAATGACATTGTCCTGAAGTGCCTTGCGTAAGAGAATATTTGAAACTACAGTCATTTTATGTGTCTTTTTCCCTGTGCATACAGCTCCGGGCTCATTCTGAGGAGTTTGTGCTTATTTGTAAACATGCTCTTTTTAAATTTTTTTAAATATTTATTTTTGAAAGAGAAAGAGCATGAGCAGGGGAAGGGCAGAGAGAGAGAGAGAGAGAGAGAGAGAATCCAAAGCAGGCTCCAGGCTCTAAGCTGTCAGTACAGAGCCTGACACGGAGCTCAAACCCAGAACTGAGAGATCATGACCTGAACCGAAGTCAGTGCTTAGCCCCCTGAGCCACGCAGGAGCCCCGTAAACGCACTCTTATACAGAGTTTGATAAACTGCAATTATATTTCCAATGAAATCTTAGCCAACATACCTATTTTAAAGCAGATGTGAATTATCCAATTCATTCTGAGAACAAGAAGCAAAAGATTGACTTGCAAAACAATTCTTGAGTGGAGTCTTTTTTAAGATTTAACTCTGAGATTTTTCTCTTCTTGAGAAATTTCTTTTCTCCTACAGTATGTGAGCTGTGCCACTGGCACTCCCAATATCTGCAGCAGATGAAAATAATTTTAATCAATCCCTCAAAACAACTAGGAGTTCAGGCATCCCCAAAAACACGGGTACCCAACTTCCCTGCTATCTTTCAAGCTTTTGTCTAAGGAGGCTATATATTCCTTAGTATTCTTCAGGCACCCAGGAACAAAACTCAGGGTTGTTTTGTTTTGTTTTGGGGTTTTTTGGTGGAATGGTGAAACAGAGTGTATCAAGTTCTCTCTCCATGGATACGTGATAGGTAGGTAGGTGGGTAGGTAAGTAGGTAGGCAAGTAGATAGATACATGATAGGTATCTCTTTTTTTCACATCACTTGTTTTCAATACTGATCTCATCTTCTACCCTATAAAGGAAAGCTTCCTATGTCATGAGAAAACTAGTGTTTTACTTGAGTTAATACCTAGATTATCTTACTCCAGCTAGTAACTCTCAAGAGAGCTTCTCTCCTCCCATCTTTATAGAAGTCCCAGGCCACATTCCCACCCCTTACACAGATTACTGTGGATGGAAGATGAGTTAACAATGATTGGCTAAGCCCAGATCATGTTACCTTTCAAGGGCCTTTAGTACTGTGGTTACTTCATACTAATGGTTAGCAGCCTTACCCAGATTGGCACCAGAAAGAACTTAAAGAGCAGCTCCTCTGCTGTTTGCCAGATAGGATGTTGCTCAACTGTGTCACTTGGCTTTTTTTTCCCAAGGCTATCCACTTGTAGACATACCCAGCTCCATTGAGGACACTTGTAAAACCAAAAAAAGGAATCCTGGACACTTGGTCAAGGATGTGTGGAGTGAGGAGGCTCTATAACTGTGGCTGGTAGACAAGCACCAATTAAGATCCTGAATTGCCATTGTGGTTAGTGACACCCCTGTCATACCTATTTTCTTATCAGAACATCCCTACTTGCATTTTGAGCCACTGCACTTTCTAAAGCCTTATTACTCATAACTCAGATGAATCACCTCCTCTCTTGCTTCCTTGCGTTCTAAATAAACTTTAGTTTAGGGACACCTGGGTGGCTCAGTTGGTTAAGCATATGACTTTGGCTCAGGTCATAATCTCACAGTTCATGGTTTCAAGCCCCACATCAGGCTCTGTACTGGAGCCTGCTTCAGATTCTGTGTCTCCCCCTTTCTCTGCCCCTCACCCACTCATACTTGTCTCTCTCTGTCTCTCTCTCAAAAATAAACATTAAAAAAAGAAAAAGTATCACTCAAAACACCCATTAACGCTCCCCCCTTTTTAAATTCCTTTAAACATCTTATTTCACGCTTCTTTTTATTCTTATTTTATCTTTAATAAATGTGTAGATATTTTAGGTACACAATATAATGACTTGATATACAAATTAAAATAATTCCATTCACCATAGCATCAAAAATTATCAAAATAAATTCAATGAAAAAAAGATTTGTACACTTAAATCTATAAAATATTGCTGAAAGAAATGAAATTACTAAATAAATGGAGAGACATTTGATATTCATGGATTGGAAAACTAAATATTGAGCAAATTGGTCCACAGATTTAATGTCATTCTTATCAAAATTCCAATAGGCTTTTTAAATAAATTGACAAACTGATTCTAAATTTTACATGAAAAATCACAAGACCTGGTTTAATCAAAACGGTTCTGAAAAAGAACAAAGTAATTACACTCACTGATTTCAAAATTTATTACAAAGTTATAGTAACCAAGACAATGCAGTATGGTCATATCAATATGCATATAAATCAACAGAACAAAATTGAGACCCCAGAAATGAGACCTCGTATTTATGGTTAATTGATTTTGATAAAGCTACCCAGACAATTCAGTAAAGAAAGGATTTTCTTTTTAATAAATGATGCTGTGACAATTATATACCCATATACAAAAAAAATCATAACCTAGACTTTTACCTTAACACACACACACACACACACACACACACACACACACACACAAATGGACCATGGATTTAAATAGAAGAATTAAAACTGTAAAACTTCTAGAAGAAAACAGGGGGAAATCTTTGTAAACTTGGATTAGGCAAAGAGTTCCTAGATACACCAAAAGCATTATCCTTTAAAGATAATATTGGTACATTAGACTCTGTCTGATAAAACTATCAGATACTCCTTCACAATCACTAGGACAGCCAAAATTAAAAAGTATTGGCAAAGAGTAGAAATTGGTACCCTCCTACACTGCTATGGCATTGTAAAATGGTTGCAGCCACTCTGGAAAACAATTTGGTACTTCCTCAAAATGACAAACACAAAGGCACCATATGACCCATTAATCCCATTCTTAGGTATGTACCTTAGAGAAATGGAAATAAATGTCCACACAAAACGTGTACAAAATATTCATAGCTGTATTATTCATAGTAGCCAAAAAGTAGAAACAAAATAAATGTTCATCAGTTGATGAATGGATGAACAAAATCTGAAATATCCATGTAATAGAATATTACTCAGCCAGAAAAACAATGAAGTATTGATTTATGCCGTAACTTGGAGGAACCTTGAAAATATTATGCTAAGTGAAAGAAGTCAGATGCAAAAATCTACATGTCTAATGGTTCCATTTATATGAAATATCAATGAAAATTTTATAAAGACAGAAAACCAATAGTTGCCCTTGATTGAGGGTGAGAAGAGGCATAAGGAAAACATATTAGGATGATGGAAATGCCATAAAACTGGATTGTGGTGACAGATGCATAAGTATAGAAATTTACCAAAAATCATTGAATTATAAATTTCCAAAGTGATTGTATGGTAGGTAAATTATACTTGTTATAAATAGAGCTGTTAAAAAATAAATCAGTAATGGGATCTTGTTAAAAACTGAAGAAAGTAGAGTAGGTCCACAATAAAGAGCATCAGCAATAGATTCCGTGCATTTCAAACAGCATCTTCGAGAAAATACCATTTGGCAGTGCCCCCAGCTCACTCACAAAATAACCAGAAATATGTAAATGGGCAAAAAAGAAAGAAAACACTCTTCTAAAAATCATTCCAAATATGTATTGTCATTTTAAAAAGAGACAGGGTAAAAATATCGATCGGCTACAATATTTATATTCTCAGAATCACATTAATTTCACAATATCAAAAGGCTTACACAACTGACAACAGATAATATGCTCCCTTAGAAAAGAAGATGAAAATATGGGAATCCTCTTTGTCTGATACATTGTTTTATTTTGTCCTGACCTTAAGCCTGAATTTATGTTTTGCTAATGTGCTTCTAAAGCCTCTTTCTTCTGTGCAGTTTGCTGCACTTGCTGAGAAAGAAAAAAGTAACACACAAATTGAGTAAATTACTGTTTTATTTTATTCGCGTATTCCGTCAAACCGTTATAACTAGAGGGACTCCCAGAGTCACGAGTCCGTGTATTTACTGAAGACTTTGTTTCTCGCCATTAGTACACAAAATTACAAGAGGTTGATTTACTTCCAGAAGAAATCAACAGGAGATTATTTATGAGCCTTGATTTAACTAAGTTTTTACGCAGCACAAACAAAAGGACATTTCAGTTTGGAGAATTACAAACACGTGCACCATTACAGTCACTTAAGTGAATGATTTTGCTGGTAAGACTGGAATGCAAGCAAGTAAGACCTTTTTTTTTTTTTTTTTTTTTTTTTAAGAACGGGCTATGCCCACAGTCTTACTGATACTCCATCACTGGTTCTCTGCCAAGGCAATGACTGTCCTAAGGAGAAGAGAATCTACCGAAGAAGAGGATGCTGTTGGACTCCTTGTGCCTGACGAAGAACAGGAAAGGGTGATTGCAATGAAAGTGTTCATATCCCGGTGCCAGTGTGAGGGCAAAGCCCACGCCGGTGCCGGCCGCAGTCTCAGTCCCTCCCTCGGTGACCGCCACAAAGGCCCTGTGCAGGAACTTCTCCGCCCGCAGCCCCGAGTGTGCGGACAGCCCCGGAGAGTCCGCTTTGTACTCGCTGAAGGCGTCTCCCCGCCCCACGGCTGCCAAGACGGCCTCCAGATCGTACCCATCCTCCACCTCGAACCGCGGCAAGTGCAAGGTCACGTTCCTTTCTTCCATATGCCCTGGGCTAGTCCACTCCACTAATTTTTCTGGAGTTATTTGATCTATAATCTATTCAGAAAAATGGTATGATTATCAATACAAAGCTGAAACACTGTAACACTGATTCGTCTCTGTTAGAAATGATTAATTTTAATAATGAACGAAAGAAGAAATGCTATTCCACTAGACCGTTGTCTATATAGCAGGCACTTGTCTTATACTTCTTTATTTATCTTATGTATGTGAAAACTCAATAGTAGTAAATGAATTCTTAAGGATGAGAAGTTATTCCTTACTCTATCAATCTAACACATATTATTTCATTTTTTTCTACCCCCTTGTAGTCTTTTATGCATATATAACATATAATTTATACATAGTAAGTTGTATATTTATATAAATTATCTGTAATAAATGTTATAATTAATATATTTTACATAATATCTATATTTACATAGTTGCAATTGTGGTAAATATCCATGTTACTTCTTTTAATGTAAACTTTTTCAGAGGCCCATATCTCTCCTAAATGTCTTCAGACTGAATACATAATATAACCATCGAGCTGATAAATTTTGCCAAACATTCATCCACTCATTTTACAATCATCCAGTAAGTAAATAGGCAGCATGATAAATGCTGACAGATCCGGTGGATCCAAAAATAACAGTCATGATGATGATGATGACCACAACAATGATGAATTTCAAACTAGGTATCTTAGTATATTTAATGCAGAAATGACTGATTTGACTGATTTTGTTTCTTTTAAACTGGAATTTTGAAGTCAGAGTATGAATACTCTTAAAGCTTTTGTACATATCGCCATCCTGCTATCCCAAATTGTTCCAACATGTAAAGTAACTGGAGATGTTTCACAGCCATAGAACAGCATCTGGTATTATAATAATATAGCATCCATCACTTACTGAGTGCTTTCTATGTACTGGACCTCTTCACAGAGATATCTCAGGCTAGGTTCGAGTAAAGGGTGACTAAATCAAAGGGTTCAAGATTAAAGATCTTATGGATTTGGGATGATTATTATGTGTCAATGGAGGTTCATCCTTGGATTTTAAAAATTACCACTCTGGTGAGTGATGTTGATTAGGGAGGAGGTTGTGTATGTGGGGGGCAGAGAGGAAATGGGAAATCTCTGTACCTTCCTCTCAATTTTGCTGTAAACCAAAACTCCAAAAAATTAAAAATCTTTACAAAGAAATTAGGGGCGCCTGGGTGGCTCAGTCGGTTGAGCGACCAACTCCATTTTGGCTCATGTCATGATCTCACAGTTCATGAGTCCAAGTCCCACACTGGGCTCTGTGCTAATAGAGTGGAGCCTGCTTGGGATTCTCTCTCTCACCCTCTCTCTCTGTTCCTCCTCCACTTGTGCCCCCTCTCTCAAAATAAATAAATACACTTAAAATTGTTTAAACAAATAAAAAGAAATTAACGGTCCAAGAAAGAAATTCAGGAGGTCTAATAGACTACAGAACAGGATGCAGAATTTGCTGTATGTGTACATGCAGTTCTTTTCTGGGAAAAAGGTGCATAGAGGTTAACCATTTCTCAGAATAGTGGCTGGTCTTTGGCTGTCCCAAATATTAAATGTTCAATTTTAGCTCATCCCCAAATATTTTGGTATTGGTTGTTTTTAATAAACCTAGTACTGTTTAACGCCCCTTTTTGACATCCATCTGTAGCTGCTGGACAGAGTACGGAATACCTCCTGCTTGACAGCAGCTCCAAATCAAAAGTCCTGTTTCCCAGCTTACCCAGAAACAAGCTTTGGGACACAAAGCTTCAGGAAATGAAAGCAAGATTGGGAAGATGTGAGGCTTTACCTTCTCCAGACCATCTGTGTCATTGGGCAGCAACACAAACATGCTTAGGTCATTGTTTTTATACGGAATTCCCAGAATTTTGGCTTGCAAGTCCTCCAGGAAAGCGAAGCTATAGGCATGGCTCTGTGTCATCATTGGCACACATCTGCTCATACTCTGCAACAAAGTAACAGAGCGAGCAATGTCAAAAGAGGCCTAAGACAATCAAGTTAGCCTACCAAAGTCATTGGCTCCACCTAAAATAGCACTAAAGATGCTTCAATCAGCACTGCTATCTACCAAGTACATTCGCTCAAATATGACTTTAGATTATACGTTCCACATGTAAACACATCACATAAATAAATTAAGGGCCATACCTTATTCAGCCAAAATTCCTCCTCCTTGGTATTTTCTTTCTTAAACTCCCTGTCCCATTGCCCTTCAAAATAAACTATGTTCACCAGTGCCAGCTTGGTGAAGCTGTCTAGAGAACCATCTGGAAACAGGTCCTTGATTTTTTCTGCAAAATGAACAACAACAACAAAATTGGCCGATCTTCAAAATCACCAGTGCTATGCATGGCAGATGTGATGCAGGTAGACTTGACTCATCATTAAAAACTGAGCCAGGTCAGCACCTCAGGGCCTTGCCGACAAGAGGTTTGCTGGCAGAATTGTAGGGAGAGTCTCACTTTGCCCATAGCCCATTTATCCCATTGGATAAATTGACATATGGTGGTTAAGAGTTCAAATTCTGGGATCAGACTGCCTCTGTTAGCATCCAGTTTTGCCTCTTACCAGTTGAGGAATCTCGGGCAAGTTATTTAAGCTCGCTGTGCCTCAGTTTCCACATCTGCAAAACAGGAATAAAACCTGCCTCATGGAGTGGTTACGAGGAGTAGATGACTTAATATGCATAAAGCACTTAGACTGTTTTCCAGCTCATGATAAGCACACAGTAAGTGTAAGCTATTATTTTTACCCATTTGATACAGTTACCACCTGAAACTTAGGAATTTCTTATATTATTGGAAAAGGAGCAATGTTTTTGTCTCTGGGTTTAGCCCATCCCACACTAAATTCTGAAGAATATTGCCTGCAATCAACCGTTGATAGACCCTCTTTTTCCCTGCTCTTCAAATTTTATTTTATTTTTTGGACTAAGTATGAAGATGGAAAAATTGCATTGTGAAATAATAACGTCTTCCTGATAACTGGAATTTTAAAAATGTGTTCTGAAACTCTAACACTAAAGTATCAGCTTTTGCCCCCAAAGTGCATTTCCATATTAATAGTCCTCTCTGGTATTTCTTGTGTGTTTGGCTCATATTAGGGGATACGGGGAGAGCATGACGTGAGGGCTTTGTCAGTTTCTCTGCTGTGGATGGGGATGAAAGTTACCATCCCAGCATGATGCTCTAGGGCAGATGAAGCCCAGGCAGCCCCAGCTGAAGGCTATAATGGCAGGTCTTGATGGGAGGGGAGCTAAATGTTTCTACTTGAGAAAGAAAAAGGAAACACTCTGTGACATTTCCTCTTATGGACCCAAACTCAGAAAGAAAGGCTCTGATATAAAGGAAAAGATGTGAGCCCAACACAGACATAAGTCCAGTTTCGGAAGCCCCGAATATACTGTGATCCACAGCCACGTGCACATCATTCTCCACTAGATGTTTCCATGAAGATGGCTTCCGGTGGGCCCTCCCTGGTGCCTCGTTGGCTCTCTCCCATTTGCTGAGACCATTCCACTCTCTGTAATGTCTTCTCCCTGCCCCCCATGCTCAGCCTTGCCCTCCTAACCCTGAAAAATTTATCTCAAGTCTGCAGCCCCCAAAAGCTTGTGCACTCTAGCACCCCCTGGGTGTGAAGGTCTTCTCTCAGAGCAGGTGCTCAAGAAGTGTTTTATCATGAATGACCCATCCATACTGTACCCTTTGTTTGGCTTTCGACCCAGGAATTAATCTTCTTTCGACTTTCATCTGCTGCATTTACAAAGTCAACAGGTTCCAGAGATGCATGGTAATGTTTTTCCACATAATCTAAGTATTTCTTTAGGAGGAACAGGGAAAGAGTAGAAAGAGGTTGAAAACTCAATTTATTAAAAAAAGGAAATTCAGTTTATCCATTTCCAGCATCTCTAAATAAATGTATCTGTACATTAAATTTTCTGTACATTAAGATGGCTGGGAAAATCACTTTTGAGCACTTCCAAGCACATTTCTGGCAGGTGCAATAGGGTTAAGGCAAAAAGTGGATTTAGACTGCTGGAATTAAACAGAAGCTCCCAAAGGGCCTGAATGTCTGGAGAAGAGGCAGGGGGACACACCCAGTGACATGGGCTGAGCCAGGCAGTCAGCTCAGGCAGCATGCCTTCAGGACCCACAGTCCTAAAACAGACATTAGCCATTCATGAACACCACTCACAAATGTGGTGGACACAGCAAAACTTACTTGAAGGAAGAGGTATGTCTTTTCTCCAAAGAGCCTGTTGGCTATTCTTAGTTCATAACCATTAGTGGATTTGCCTATCTCACTCAAAAATTCTTGGAATTGTTGATGTATCTCTTCTGTCTTCTCAATCTTCAAAATCAAAACAATAAATATGTCATATATACTCTATGCTGTATTCTTAAAGTCAGCTCAATAAAAGACAATGTTATTAAGAAAATCATAAGGAAGAGAAAATGCACGTGCAGTATTGTATTGTGTTTATCCAAAAAAATCTGCATCTAAGTGGACCTGTGCCATTCAACCCCGTGTTGTTCAAGGGTCAACTGTCTGTGAATATCAGTGACTGGGGACTTCAAGGCCAGTGGGTTTTCAGGCCCCACTCTCTCTGTGCAACTGTATGAAATGGACAAATGTACACTACAAGTGGCACAGATATTAGTATAATCCCCTTGGAAAATAATTTGGTAACACTTAACAAAGTGGAACAAAAAGTTAAATGAACATAAAGTTAAATTCAACATAAAGTTGAATAAAGTTAAACCCTACCTGCCAGATATATACTATAGACCAGTGGTGCCCCATAGAAATATAGTGCAAGCCACAAATGTGAGCCACATATATAATCTTGAATTTTCTAGTGACTACATTCTTAAAAGTAAAAAGCAGATGAAATAAAATGTAATATATTTTATCAATCAAATATACCTAGAACATCATTTCAACATAACTATGATATACAAATATATATTAACATACAGGTATGGTGTATTTTTTCAACAAAATAATACATAAAAATTAACAAGATATTTTATATCTGTGACAAAACAAAAAATGTATTCTTGGTCTCTTTCTCCAGTTCCTAACACAGAGCTCCTAAACCTTGTAATTTGCTGAGTGCAAATTCCTGGGTGCCAGGAAGCATCTTTTCTTTCAATATTTTCTCTTTGATCCCAGTTCCTGACACAGAACTTCTAAATCCGTTGGTATTTTCTGGGTGATAGGAGCATCTTTTGTTCCAGCGACTTCAAGATGGGGGCTGGTCATCAGAAAAGACCAAACCATAATTAGAAGCTTGGAACTTACAGCCTCATCTCCCATCCTCCAGGGAAAGGAGAGGGGCTGGAGACAGAGCTAATCATTGATGATGCCTATATGATAAGGCTTTCATAAAAATCCCTACCCTACAATGTTTAAAGACCTCTGAGTTGGTGAACACATCGATGAGCTAGAAGGGTGGTGGGCCCCAAACTCTTTGGACAATCTGAGACTTAACACCCTATATACCTTTTCATATGGCTATTTGTTGGTATTTTTTTTACAAGAAACCAGTGTTTCCCTAAGTTCTCTGAGCCAATATAGCAAATTATCCAATTTGAATAGGGGGGTAATGGGATCCTCTGATTTGTAGCCAAGCTGGACAGAGTGTGGAACCTACTTCCTTACAATTAGCATCTGAAGGAGAGCAAGTCTTGTGGAACGAAGGCTTTTAACTTGTGGTGTCTGCACTGACTCCATGCAGTTAGTGTCAAAATTGCTTAATGTGAGGAAACACAAACACTCAACGTCAGAAGTGTTGTGAGTAGAAAAACAGTTTTCCTTCAACATTATTTTCTCATACTAAGATCTTGAATTCCAATGTATATTTGACACTTAGAGCACCTTTCAGTTTGAACTAGATATATTTCAAATACTCTGTAGCCAATTCAATGGCTGCCATATTTGAAAGCTCAGGACTAGAGAGACTATCATCCAGGGAAACTACAAGGTTTGTATAGGAAGGGTCATTTGTTTGTAATAAGAAGGAAGAAAGGAAGCAAGGAAGAAAGCAATCACCTATGAACAGGATAAATGGGTTAACAGCCATGAAAATGAATCAAGGACTACAAGTATCCACCTAAAATAGATGAATCTTATAAATATAATTCTGAGCCAAAAAGAATCAGGTTGCAAAGAATAATAAAATTTTTTAAAATACAGAAATAATAACCACCAAGTTCAGGATTGTGGAACATCTTCTTTCAGGAGAGGAGGGGAATGTGTTCAAGGAAGGTACTTGGGGCATTAGCTAATTTGTCAATAGTTTATTTCTTACTCCAGAGGGAAGAGTTAAAAGTTACTCGGAATTGCATTATTCAGAATTACAGAAGTGTATAAGGATTCCTAATACCTTGGGGTGCCTGGGTGGCTCAGTCGGTTAAGAATCCAACTTTGGCTCAGGTCACGATCTCATGGTTTGTGGGTTCAAGCCCCGCATCAGATTCTGTGCTGACAGCTCAGAGCCTGGAGCCTGCTTCGGATTCTGTGTCTCCTCTCTCTGCCCCTCCCCCACCCGTGCTCTGTCTCTCTCTCTCAAAAGTAAATAAACATTAAAACATTTTTTAAAATAAAGTTAAAATCTTCTCTTAATATTAAGGGTTTATTACTATATAATACTAGCAACACTACTTGGCTGCAGTGATTATAATTGCTTAAAACCAAGTATAAACTATTACCCCTTCTACACATTTTCCCAGGGAGCCCACATCAACAACACAGACATAATGAAGACTAACACATATCTCCTCACCTTTTTTTCTTCAGTTTTTATTTTTGAGCTCTCTGTGTCTTTCTCAGAGGAAAGCATCTGAAAGGACAGAAAATATTATGGTTGTGGGTGGAATAGAGAAACCCTCACATAGAATCAGGCCAGGGAAGTAGAATGTTTGTTCAAGAGACTTCAGTGGTAAATGGGTAGCATCTCTCTCCTCGCAAAGCCATGCCCAGGTCTGGACTGCCCATTGATCTCACCTACACTGGGATCTCCTTTCATGTATGATCTTTGATGTGCCATTTATAGCCTAGTGGGGATTATGCAACTTCTTCCAATAGGTTTTGTTCTTCATGCTCTGTACTTAATAATGAGCTTAAAGACTTTCGACAAAGCCACTCACTCTGCCCCCACTCAAAGGAATTTCAAGCACCAGGAAGCAGGAGGTCCCTTTGGAGAGGGACCAGGACTTCCCTGATAGACATGAAACTGCTCCGTGTCTTCACATGCATTCTCTGTCTCCTGGACCCATTTCAGGGTGATGGTGGAGGGCTGCCCCCAGAGAAGAGCCTGCTTGGACAGCAATGGGAGCCTCCTTACCTTCCGTAACTGCACCGCGGTGGCTCCTTGGGCCCCGAAGACCAGCATGCCGATGGCGGCTGAAATGCCCACGGGGGAAAAGAAGATGTTGCCATCTTTTATCTTATTCAGCTTTTGGAAAAGATTAAACCCAAACTGAGTGTATGCTGCACCGAGCGAATCCATGAAGAATCCAGCAAGATCTAGAACAGCAACAACAATCAAAACCAAATGAGCTCCTTCCACCTATTTGAGTTGCTTTATATCCCAGGAGCCCTTCCTGATTCTCTTGATCTCCCTGCATTGATTCAGAAAATAGAGGTTTTCATTCTCCCAGGGAAGGGTCACTGCTGCCTGCTTCTCACCCTTTCCTTGGCCTTCTCTGGACAGGAGACAGGAGTCAATCCGGCATCTTCCAAAGTTTCTGTTCTCATTCCCCCAGGCAGCAGGGTTGACACCTAAATGGTTCTCTTTTCTCTTCTTCTCTGCCAGGGCCTGCCTGCGTCTGCCTGCCCACCGCTTCCTCCCGCGCTAACCTGCCCCAGGCAGGCCGAGCCCTTGCCTGCTCCTGTCTGACGGTCTGGCTGCTGGCCCGTGACCAGGCCACGGGAAGGCCTGGGAATTCCTCCTGACCTCAGGTCTCCAAACCAACCTTAAAATAATAAAGTCAATAGTGGCTCCTTCTTGGATACTTTCTATCTCTCAACTGATTAAAATCTAGTGCAGAGAGAGACAGGATAGATTAACTGTCTTAAACCCCAAACCCTAACTGCATGAAAATTTGAGTCTTGTCTGAATTTTCCCTGAAGGGCAATGACAGATCTCTTTGCCATGGGTTATTAAGTAGGGGCAAAAGTGTTTTCTTTCCTCCACTTTTCTGTATTGTTTCAGGCTTGTACCATGAGTTCATATTACTTTTGTAATCACACACACACACACACACACACACACACGCATAATTTTAAAGAGCAATTACTATTTACCAAAACAAACAATTAAAACACATTTTATGCTTTCTTCACCACCAGCTATGTTACAACTAGTTAATGAAGGCTTTAAGAAAAATCCTAAAACAAGAATGAGATTAATGCAGAAGAAAATGTTTTGAAAGCCTACATACTTTGAGGGGTTTTTTGAATCAAGGGCCCATTCCTGTGAAAGCATTCCACATCTGCCGTTAAAACTTCCATTTCAACCCCAAGTTTCTTTACAAGGATTCCTTGCGAGTTAACTCAGAAATAAAATCAGTCAGGGTGCCTGGGTGGCTCAGTCAGTTGAGTGTCTGACTTCAACTCAGTTAAATGATCTCACAGTTTGTGAGTTTGAGCCTTGCATCAGACTCTCTGCTGAGAGCTCAGAGCCTGGAGCCTGCTTCAAAATCTGTGTCTTCCTCACTCTCTGCTCCTCCCCCACTCAGGCACATGCTCTCTCTCTCTCTCTCTCTCCCTCTCTCTCTCTCTCAAAAATAAATAAAACACTAAAAAAATTTTTTAAAGAAATAAAATCAATTAACTTATTGTCAAACAAGATGATGATATATTGTCATGACTATGTAAACACTGAAATGAATAAAACCACCCCAAGGAAAATTACGCACAATAAACGTACATCTTTCAAATCAATAAACATCAGTGTTCCCAAAACACCAAAGTCTCAAGTTGAAGCTAAAGAAGGAACTTACCTGGTTTCTGGAGAGAAAGAGGTGGCTAGGAAAGGAACCAGGAAGCATATGTTACATGAGTTGTTGAGATCTTTAATTTATAGGACTCTCTCTCTGTCCCTCTCTGCCTCTCCCTAGTCATTATCGTTGCATTTCCAGTAAAACAATTTTTGGTTTCTCAATGACAATTTCCCTAATAAAATTACCACACAAGATTTATGACAAAGCTGAGGGTTCCATTTCCTATTTCTTCCACTCATGGCCATGAAGCTGCGCACTTGATGTCAGCAACTGTTTTGTGAACTATAGCTCACAAAGGGTGCACATTAGGACACAGAAGAATAGAGCTTAAATTCTAATCCCTTACAAAGGATTTTGGAGGCTCACTCAGAAGATCAAAATCAGCCAGACAGCAAAATAAGATGAAAAGCAGGAACTCAGCCCAAGACCAAAGAGTAACATTAGAATGGCCAAGTTAAATAGATATGACTCAGGTGGAAAACCCATCAGAGGGCGGGCCTTCTTCACCCCCAGTGATCTTTAGGATCCTCTGGAAAGAATTGTTTAGAGGACTGGTTCTCCACCTTGGATACATGCTAAAATCTCCTGAGAAACAAACAAACAAAAACTATGCCAAGCCCTACCCCAGATAACTAAGTCAGAATTTCCTGGGGTGGGAAACAGACATCAGAATTTTTATCACTCCAGGTGATTATGATGTGCAGCCAAGGTTGGAAACCACTGGTTTATAGCCTGACAAAGATCTGAGTTAATACATACTTTACTTGCAAGTACAGAGCTCTGTCCTGGCAAGCCCAGTCTCTGCAATAAAGTTAACTTAGCAGTTGCATTATTTTAGGAAGCCAAATGCAAAGAAGAAAATGAAGGAAAACAATCTTGTTAGATTTAAAAAAAAAAAAAAAAACAACAAGAAAAAGTAGTGAGAAGAGTTTGGGCAGGCAGCTAAACATATACGAGAGCATGTGTACACACACACACACACACACACACACCACTCTTGTTCTCAAGCATTCCCTCCATTAATTATGAAGTCCCTCTTTTTAGTTCATTCAATAAGCATTTGTTGAGAGCCTACTATGTACCAAACACTGGGCTAAGGACCAATAATTCATAGCATCCAACAGGCTTACTGATTTCAGGAAAACAACCCTGCTTCCAAAAAAACAAAAAAACAAAACTCAATAAAAGATTACACCTCCAAATTTCTAGTTTTTCCTGCTAACCCTGAGGCATCCCTATTGGCTCTACAAGTCCATTAAAGAAACAGTTCTTGGATTATTTTCTTTGGTCTTGGGTAAAGCGTGTGAAGATTTGTCATTGTTGCCAAGAAACAAATCCTAAAATGACAGCTTAGCTCTTCCCTCTCACCTGCGTGTCTGCCTCAGGAAGCAGCTCAGTGATGCACCTTCTAAGGGCATGGTCATGTGTGTGCCAATCTCAATACTCACAATTTGCTTTCGGTTTTTTTAATATTCTCAATACAGCTCTTCAAGCAAACTCAAAGCAGTATTTAATTAACTTTGCTTTCTGATTATCATTGAGAAACACACCAATTAAGCAAGGTTTGGAAACAATCAGCACTTGGTTGTGGAGTTGACCTTGGATGCCAAGGAAGTGAAGGTGTTAGTTTTTTAAAACGGTATGGAATCTTTGAGTCAGCAGTAGTGCTCCGTGTTTGAACCTCTCTACTGGTATAGGTCTTCTCATTTCTTTCTCTGTGACCTTAGGCTCCGAAGTATGGCCCAGTGACCTCTGCCAGCCCTCCACTTTTTCCTAAAGTATTTCCTCTACGAGGCAGTTTCACAGGGAGGCCTGGCTTTCCCCTGAAGACCACATACCCCACAGTCTTCCCTTGGACGATCACTCATATCTTGGGATCAGGAAGCAAGATCCCCATTCCTAGTCTCTCTCCTACTATTATGCCTTCCAAGCCTTTCTTCCTTCAACACCTGCATTGTTCCCTTTAGAGATTTACCCCATCTTGCTGTGCCTATCCCCACCCATATCTACCCCCCACCACCTCTCCACATAGGCATGGTCTTCCTGTCCACTCTCACCCCACTGCCCCTCTGTATGTCTTCATAGTCTATGCTGGGGGCAGCTCACACTTTCCTGGCCTCACCTTCCCTCTCTTCTTGTGGTCCACACTCATGGTCACACTTGGGTGTCATCACCACCAGGAAGTGCTCCTGCTGGAAATTACTGGACACTGAAATTCCTTCCTCTGATTACAGATTCTTATCCCTGTTCTTCCCAAACCTAATTTTCAATGTCATCACAACCTCCAGTCGTTGGACCCCTCCCCAACCTTCTATTTCATCAGCCTCTTCCTCCCAGTATCAAAATTCTCCCAGAGCTAGAAAATACATTCACAATTAGAAACCATAAAAGTGGTTCCAATGTTTCTGGGTGAGGAAATGAAAATAATTAAGCCCTGAACCAGAGTGCTAGAGGGTTCCCATCTATCCCAAGTTTGGGCACAACCTCGGCATCCGTGCATCAGTCTGTGACTGATGCTGACATGTAATACTTCGTTTCCAAGCCTATAATGTAATGGATGCCAATGGGTCCCAACCAGATCGCTTTTTCCAGCAAGCGCTCCTGTCACCTGGCCGCCATTTTGTCTGACAGTTCAACTGGGAACCATGCAGCACCCCACCCCCAGGCAGAGCACACCTCAGGTATGACTCACTGGCATAAGATATAAAAAGATAAGACAGCTTCCTTACACCAAAACAGAATGGATTTTGTGGTGTATATTTTCCTCCAGAGCTTTTGCCATGGGAGCAGAGTGAATCTAATCTCGGTTTCCTTTCTCTGTCCTGCTTCTCTCAAAGAAACCCTCTCTTCTCCTCCCAATCCAAAAAATTCCCTGAACAAGAACCTCTGTCTTCAGCACTGCTTCTGGGGGAGCTGAACAAGGCCATGTATCTTCATATCTAGCCCAAGGTCTCTCATTGATTTTGCTTTCTAAACATTTCTTGGCAATTCTTGCAAATACTATCCTTTAGATTAACTTTTCGATCAGTTTATAAAGACCAATGAAAATTCCCCTGGGGATTTACATTGGAACCTTTAGGATTGCCATTAACATGTCCCTCAGTAGAGTTTATAGATAGAAAGAAGTAGAGAAGGAATAAGATAGAAAACCAGTTTTATCTTTATGATGAAAAAATTAAACAAGTATGCCCACTATCACTGCTTCCATTCAAAATTGAACCAGGGCTTGGGGGGAAAGAATAGAATAGATAAAGAAGATGTGGTTTATATACACAATGTAATACTACATGGCAATGAGAAAGAATGAAAGCCTGCCATTTGCAGCAACATGGATGGAACTGGAGGGATAGTATGCTAAGTGAAATAAGTCAGTCAGAAAAAGACAGATATCCTATGTTTTCACTCATATGTGGATCTTGAGAAACTTCACAAAGACCATGAAGGAAAGGAAGGATTAAAAAAAAGTTAAAGAGAGGGAGGGAGACAAACCATAAGAGACTCTTAAATACAGAGAACAAACTGAGAGTTGATGGGAAATGGGGGAGAGGGGAAAGCGAGTGATGGGCATTAAGGAGAGCACTTGTCGGGATGAGCACTGGATGTTGTATGGAAACCAATTTGACAATAAATTATATTTTAAAAAATTAAAAATTAAATAAATAAATAAACCAGAGAATTCAGCAAATGTGATAAGGCAATTGAATAATTAATTAATTAACTAATTACCCTTCAAGACCCAAAATAAA